AAAATAAAAGAGGCAAAAAAAAAATCAAATTTTTCCGATTCCACTAGTGTTGTTGGCGTTGCAGAATATATATATGATAGTTCAGATAATGTTCTTACAGTTGTTGTCTCTAATGGAAGTTTTAATGATAAATAGATTCTTGATTTGGATTGTTTCTATCATATGTGCTCTAATAGGGATTAGTTTACCCCCTGTGAGTCGATCAATGGTGGTTCAGTCTTGATAAAAAATAATATTGCTTACAAGATTATTGAAATTGGTACTATCCGAATTAAGACACATAATGAAATTGTGATGACTTTGACAGATGTTTGGCATATTCTAGAATTAAAGAACAATTTGATTTCTTTGGGTACTTTAAATTCCATTAGTTGCAAGTTCTCTTTCGAAAATGGAGTTATGAAAGTTTGTAGGGGTTTCTTGGTTGTGATGAAAGGTAAAAAAATTAATGTCCTTTATGTTCTTCAAGGTGATACTGTGATTGGTGCAGCTGGTGTATCATCTTCAAAAATCCTAGATTCAGATACTACCCAATTATGACATATACGTTTAGGCCACATGAGTGAGAGGGGCATGAAAATCTTGTGTAAACAGGGCTGCTTGGCAAATAGAAAATTGGGAAACTTGATTTTTGTGAGTATTATGTCTTTGGGAAACAGTGCAGAGTCAAGTTCATTAGAGCTATTCACAGGACTAAAGGTATAATTAATTATAATCATTCAGACTTTTGGGGTCCTTCTCAGGTTTCATCTAAGGGTGGCGCTCAATTTCTTGACTTTTATTGTTGATTATTCAGAAAAGTTTGGGTATATTTTCTGAAACACAAAAATGATATTTTTCAAACTTTCAAGCAATGAAAGACTTTAATTGAGAAACAAACAGGCAGGAAAGTCAAACATCTCAGAACAGATAATGATTTGAAATTTTGTGGAGGTGAATTTAATAAGTTCTATAGAGATGAAAATATTGTCAGGCATCTTATTGTTCGGTCTACTCCATAGCAAAATGGGGTTGCAAAAAGGACGAACATGACTCTTTTAGAGAGAACATGTTATATGCTCTTTAATGTAGGATTGTTTAAAGTTTTTTGGACTAAGGTTGTCAACATTACTTGCTATTTGATTAATCGTTCTCCGGCCACTGCTATTGAGTTGAAGACTCCACATGAGGTATGGTCTAGTACTCTAGCCGATTATTCTGATTTAAAAATATTTGGTTGCACTGCTTATTATCATGTGAATGATAGTAAGCTTGAGCCTAGGGTTAAGAAGTGCATATTTATTGGTTATGCTAATGGAATGAAAGGATATAGATTGTGGTGTTTTGATCCTAAATCGGTAGAGATATTGTATTTGATTAATCTTTCATGTTTCATCCGAGAAAAGAGTTTATAATTTTTGCAGGAAAGAATAAGGTTATCGCAAGGAGGTGGAAGCTTTACAGAAAGTACTTCAAGTCAATCTATTACAGATTTGCCTAGTTTTAGTTCTGGTGATGATCCACATAGACCCCCTCAGAAATATGGGTATCTGACTATAGTAGAGGAGGTTGGTGTTCAGGAACCTTTCACATATTCAGAAGCTATCACAAGTAATAAGTCTGCACATTGGACTGTTGATATGGTTGAAGAAATTGAATCTCTTAATAAGAACTAGACTTGAGAATTAATGAAATTGCCTAAGGGTATGAAAATTGCTGGTTGTAAATGGGTCTTAAAAAAAAAAGAAGGAATTACAGGGGTTGAATCTACGAGGTATAAGGCACGATTAGTTGCTAAGGGCTATAGTAAGAGAGGATGTGGACTTCAATAAAGTTTCTCACCAGTTGTGAAACATAACTCTATTCGTGTATTGCTTGTCATGGTTACTTCACTCAATCTAGAGCTTGAGCAACTTGATGTAAAGACAACTTTTCTATATGATGAGCTTGAGAAAATTATCTACATGCATCAACCAGAGAGATTTATTGTTCAAGATAAAGAAAATCACGTTTGCTTGTTAAAGAAATCATTATATGATTTGAAACAGTCTCCAAAGCAGTGGCACAAACGTTTTGACACGTTTATGGTAGATCATGGTTACTCTAAAAGTAATTATGATAGTTGTGTGTATCACAGACAGTTGTCATATGATTCTTTTATATATTTATTGCTTTATGTGAATGGCATGCTTATTACTGCTAAGAGAGCATGTTAGAGATTGACAAGTTGAAGAAACAATTGAGTTCAGAAGTTGAGTTGAAAATTTTGGGTGCTGCAAAAAAAATTTTGGGTATGAAAATTCATAGAGATAGGAGGGCAAGTATGTTATATTTATCTCAAAAAAAAATATATTGAAAAAGTTATTGAGTAGTTTGGGATACAGAATTCGAAGCCCATGAGTACTCCACTTGCAGCTCACTTTAGGCTTTCAACAATTTTATCACCACAAAGTGAGAATAAAGAGCAGTTTATGCCTTGTGTTCCTTATTATAGTGCAGATAGTTGGGATCATTATGTATGCTATGGTTTGTAATTGTCCAAATATTTCACAAGCAGTTAGTGTGGTTAACCTTTACATGGTTAATCCTAAGAAGGTTCATTGGCAAGCAGTGAAATGGATACTTCGTTATTTGAGAGACACTACAAATGTTGACTTAGTATTAGGTAGAAGAGATGGCATTGATTCTATAGTTATTGGTTATGTTGATTCAAATTATGCGGACGATCTAGATAAGAAAAAATCTCTAACAAGTTATATTTTTAGTTTATTTGGGTGCACTATAAGTTGGAGGGCAATCCTGTAGTCTACAGTTGCTTTGTCTGTCACAGAGACAGAATACATAGCAGTATCAGAGGTAGTTAAAGAAGCAATTTGGTTAAGAGGTTTGGTTTGTGACTTGGGCTTGGAAGAGGAAGTAACTACAGTGTTTTGTGATAGTCAAAGTGTAATACATTTGACCAAAAATCACATGTGTCATGAAAGGACCAACCACATTGACGTTAGACATCACTTCCTTTGTGAGGTTATGGCTCAAGGTATTATCACAGTGAAAAAAGTTGCTACAACAGATAACCCGGCAGATATATTTACTAAGCCGGTACTAGTGCTCAAGTTCAAAATTTGCTTGGATTTATTTGACGATTGCATTATTTGAGCACCCTTTGGGGTATTTGGCGAAGATAGCAGTCAAGTTCACTTTTGGTTAGATGACTTGATGGAATATAAGCCAAGGTGTAGATTTGTTATTTATGACTTGTATTCTAAGTCGCAATTAGATTTATATGGAGAACTTCCATGGCAGCCAATTGAGATTGAATTTGTTGACTCTAAGTATTTATGTTGGAACCTAATTCTTTAGTTCATTTATTATAGATGGACTAGATGTTTTCATTGGATAAGTCTTTATTTTGCAAGACTTTGACATGAAGTAGAATTACAATGGTTGACTAGCACATGAAGAACTCTTATGCTTTATGAAGTCTTTGACTTTGGAGAATGGTAATTATTCTGCCTAGGCGTACAAGCTTTGATTGTCCAGAAGCTTAAATATAACAGATCGTCTTCTATGGCTTCTGATTTACGACGACGTCAATTTTTTCAAGTAGAAAATATTAGTTTGTTCTATTTTGTTAATCCAATAATCATTATAATATTGGAATAGAGTGGGTTGACATTCTCTTGTTCTTTTAGTTTAAAGAACTTTGTAATCTCCAACCTTTCAATAGTAAAATCTTAACGTTGTGTTTCGTTTGTGAATATAGACTTGCTTGTTGAGCCGAACCACGTAAATCTCTTATGTTCTATTTTTCTATTTCGTTTCGTTTTTATTTTGCTTGTGACTTTGGTTCATAACACAAACAAAACAAAAACGATACCAAACAACCCAAACTAAGAGAGAAAAGTCTATGAGAATGAGATGCAATCAAGCAAACATAAGACATTCTCTATCCCACAATAATCACCCATTGAGAGAAAATCTTATTATTGTCATAATTGCAATTATTTCATTTAAAACCCCAATGGGTAAATGAGATGACCAAGAGCACACATTAACATGTAAAGGGCCAAAGTACAATTAACTTCCTTAAGACCAAACCAAGGATTCCTCCCTATAAGCCACCTAGTTCATGTTAACAGGGATCATATTAAATTAGATAGTTGCACTAAGGGGCACGGATACCTCATTCTTAGCTCCCCCCCCCCCCCTCCCAAACAAAGAAAAAAAAAAGAAAAATCCAATACATATAAACCTAACCTTTAAAGGGAAAAAAGTCACTACCAATCTCGCCCCACTACGGTTAAGTTTTCTAATAGTATGCCCTAGTCCCTAATATCAACCAAATTAATGCATTTACACAACGATCACTAGATTCCAACAAATAGAATCATGGAATGACAAGGAAAGACTACAAGGAGTAAGATTTCCTTTACAGATCAATTAGCATAATTAACAAAATGAAACCAGGAAACATCACATAATGAAATGTTAGGACCGAGTCTGTAGCATAAAAAGTGATACCACTAATTTAATTGAGACACAGCAAAGCAGAGATTAAAAATTCAATAATAGGCCCAAAACTCACCAGACACCAAACAGATGACATAGAGAACATTAGTAAGCCGTTTGTTTGTAGAAATGAACAGCACTAATACAATTTTTTTCCAGATAAAAGAAAAAGAAACCCTACGTAAATGTCTTTCCAGCTACTCTTTCAACATTATATACTCTTCCAATGCATTCCGGATAAACTTCCACAAAGTCTCTTTTTTAGGTTGACCACTTTTCATATAGCAAACCAAATTGCATTTTCTAGCATAATACTACATCAATCTTCACAAAGCTACTGTTTCTTTGTATCTAAGTTCAAACTTTCTTCCACCTAAGAAAATTGGAACTTCCTAAGAGATGCTTTTTATCTGGCTATGATCTAATTACCACCTTGCTTTTTCCTTTTGAGTTTTGACCAACAACCATTCAAACTATATGATAAATCTACATAGAGATACATGCTCCCTTTTCTAGCAATTAAGATTTATAGCAAATACAATTAGTACCTTATAATAGCTCCATTGTGTCTGGTCACCAACTTTGTATGAAAGAGGATTGTCACTACAAAATGCGAGTTTTGCAGTTGACACATATAATATCCCCATGACTGGGCCAGCAGATGTGGATAAGTAGCACGCATATGACTTCAAAAGTTGCTCCTCGGGAACAATCTCGAATGTTTGTCGAAAAATTTTCTCATAGCCACCTTCTGCAAGAACTTTTGTTCCCTGGGCGATTCTTCCAACAGCAGCATCAGCAAAACTGGGCCCCGTTTTCACTATTTCAGAATAGGCCAGTATTTACATCATATTAAAAGAGTTATTGACAACTATTTGAAATTATCCCTTTCAAAATTACATATATTTTTACTTTCTGCAACATATTTGTATTTAGCAAGGAAAATTAATGAAAACCACATCGAAAAAAAGAAAAAGGCAAACAGCTGTCTTTTAAGAAAAACCAAGAGATAAAAATCTAGAGAATCACATGTTCACATCAACTAGAAACCATTGCTACAGGCCTCAACAATTGAATTCATGGATAAGCCCAGTACGCAGCTCCTTAAATGCCACCAAACATGTGTTGACCAAGAGAAAGTATGTCAAAGTTGAAGAAAGAAGTATACATGTGGTACCCACTCTGTAATCTCTCGAACAACAACACCAAGAAGGAATAGACCCTTTTATATGGACAGTCAGAAACAAAGGTCTTCCAAGCAGACAGCAAGGATTATTATCCTGCTTTCTCCATTAAACATCCAAAGGAAGTGCCACAACAGTTTCCATATGGAAACTAAAGAGTCAAGTCAAAAACAAAAAATTCAACCAAATTAGGTTGAATTTAAATGACCTTCGTCCGATTTCAAGTTGCACAAGAAGCGGAGATGGGCCGGAGGAGGGAGGAGGGAAGGGGGGAGTCCAAGAAGAAAATGCTGAGAGAACTGGTGAAAATTTCACTGCACTCAAAACTGGTTTTTCTTATCTTTATATATACCCGTGACCTCTCCCCTCTTTCAAGGTGTCACATCAAACTATGCCCCAACAACACAATTAGAAAATGCAAGTTGCAGAAGATTTATTTGCTTAGGGAAATTTTCTGATAATAGTCGGTGACATGATTGTCATTGCAATTCCCATATTTGTTGCAATTCCCATATTTGTTGCAATAACCTGCAAACTCAAAATGCTCTAACACTCGGTCTTCTTGGAATTCAGATGGCTAACATGCATGCTTAATATCTACATGAAATGGTGAGGTTTGTTGCAATAACCTGAAAACTCAAAATGCTCTAACACTCGGTCTTCTGGAATTCAGATGGCTAACATGCATACCTAATATCTACATGAAATGGTAAGGTTGGTGCTTATGCATTGCCAGTCAAAACAAATATCAAGTACATACTTTCTGTTAAAAAGTACCAATACATTCTCTGAAATGCAATGAAAGCTTTATGTTTTACTACTTTACAGAACACTAATCATACCGTAAGACTGCCAGAGTAAATTAAAGTTTCAAAGTTTCTTGCCCACGCAGATAAATCTAGACTTATGATGAATTTTACATAATAAAAATTAGACAATCACATAAACTTTAAGCTCAATGAGAGATACATAGAGTGTGATTGCAAAATTTAACAAACAATGCGAATTCTGGACATATAAAGTTAATGTATCCATAGATCAATAGAAGGAAAAAAAAAAAAAAAAACAAACAAACTACTGTATCAAAAGCCTCTACTAACGATCAATCGTAGCCTTGCAATCGTCTGATCTATCCAAGGTTAACATCAAACTAAAAGATCACAAACAACCAAACAAAAATTTCGAATATGTGGACAGGAGACTCACAGTGCTGCCACATATCTCCAGCAAAACCCTCGGCCTTTTTTGTCGCCTCGGCCGCCTTCTTCCCCCATTTTCCAAGGACATCTTTCACCGAATCCATTGTGTCTACCAAAGGAACAAAAATACAAAAACAAAAAATACCGAATTCAATCACAATTATTCGTCCAATAAAATCCTAAAAATCAATAAACAACCGAATCAAGCAGATCACTGAATAGAAGCGAAAATTGAACTCCACTGACGCACTCACTCTTCATAGAAGATTGTGGCACCGTTGCCGGAGACACGTAAGGATTGGACTCCGGAGGCATAGTAGTGGCGGAGTTTCCAGAAATGGGAGCGGGGCCTTCCGAAGCCGATGGAGATCGAGGAGTGTTGACAGACGGCTGTCCGGCTGGCGGCGGAGGCGGAGGCGGCGGCGGCGGTGATGGTTCAGAGCCGACGGGGACAGAGGTCCATGTCTCGGCGGCAGTAGGAGGGAGAACAACGTCGTTTGGATCAAGCTTTGGGTAGGGAGCGTAGTCGGAGGAGTGAGAGGGATTGTAGTGGTTGCGAGTCTCCGGTTTGTCTGGTTGCAGGTGATCGGAGGGGATAGGGTTCAGACTCATGGTTTATGGCGGGGGATCGAAGTGAGGAGGGAGGATAAATCGAGAAGGTTCTTTTGTTGCTTCTGCTTGGAGGAATCAGAGAAACCTTTGAGAGAGAGACAGAAGAGGGAAGAAGGGGGGGTTGTTTGTGAAGTCATTGGGAATTTGTGTTGGATTGCAATGAATATTGCCGTTACGCGTTTGAAAGTTGAAAGAGAAAAATATACTTTGACCCCTTGTAATTATGCCTCAACCTCATTGTATCCCGGGTGTGTTTGGATAGTGGTTTTGAAATAGGGTAGGATTTTTTTTTTTATATCCTAACTCATTCAATTCAAATCCACTCCTCTACTTTAAATCCCTAAACTTGGAGTATACTATATCCAATCCAAATTTTTGTTTGAGAAATAAATGTGTAATTTGGTGGACCCATAAATTACTCAAATAATTTTATAGTAATTAACCATTTTATCCATGACTTTATCTACTTCAATCATATCATATGTTTGAATCGATGGATTATCCTAATAAAATTATATATTTTTCACGTATACATTAAAATAAAATAAAAAAATTTAGGAAATTAATAATCGATATAAGGGTAGACCATGTATATTAGATTCAAACAATTGAATAAAAAAAGTCATATTCAAGTACGTAGTAATATGTTGCTAGCAACCCTTAATTGGATCAATCTCAAAGAGGTGTACTAACATACAATAATACATAATAGTTACGTATTTTAAACATATGTAATTGTAATAGATATTGGCTTATACAAAAATACAACAAAACATAAGGTAACGTGGTGAATATTTGTTAACAATAACAAGTGAAATTAATGTTGTCTTATACAATACATAATAAAATACGACAACATTATATTGGCCTAATCACAATCAACGTAAATAAACCCCGAGAAATTTTCCAAATTTTTTGTTAGATGGCAAAGGATGAGGTCAGTCATCATCAATAATTACGACATCCAGTTTCCGTACTCCTCGAATTTAATGATGGGCATGATCCAACACTGCTATCAATGTTTTGTTGGTTTGAGGTTGGTATATCATTCTTGAAAATAACTTCCAACAGTGGAAAGATTGGACAAGGATTCAAACAATAGTTACAAGCAAAGCCATCATCCTGTAATAAATGTTTGAAGTGAAAATATAGAACCATAAAATTACTAACATGTATGAGTAATAAATCAATTTGTATCGACACGAACGTAAAACAAAATAATTAGAATCACATACTTGAATGAAATTCAAACCACCAGGTGTCGAGCCTTCAACAACACACGTAGTGTGTGTCTCAAACAAACATGTCACTTTTTAACATCTCAGCAATGCTATTATACTAGAACTCCCAGAAAAGGATTACCCTCAACATATCACTTATAGATAGATGAAACCTAGGCATCCTTTGTCGCATACGTTTAAACAGTGCATCAAGTAGTCTTTCTGAATACCTCCTTGCTATGGGTTATTTCCTGCGATTCTTTAAACTCAACTAATAAGTCAAGCATAACATCAACTTCATCCTCAGTCATGTCTGGAAACTTCATTGTTAACTAATACCACAACAATTAAAAAAACTATATATTTTCAGGTCATCATCAATAACCATACATACCTAGGAAATAGTCACATGGATAGTAAAAAAGAAAAGTTCTTAAACAAGCTACAAAGTCATGCAAAAGTCTTCAACAACCTATATATGATCAACATACATAATTCATCCAAATCTATCCAAGAAGAAGTGATGATATGGGTGACCACCATACCCAAAACCAATACAAACAACATACTTTACACAAGTAACAAACTCACGATCTTGGAATGGTGTAAGTGTTGATACATTAATATCCATTGTATCTTCAGGAAGTTGATTTCCCGATGTTGGTTGATTTGGATTGACCTGAACGTCATTCAAAGGTTGCACCTCTATTATACCATCTTGTTGTTCAATATACATGCGCAAAGTATTTTCAACCTTGGTATACAGGTCATATGATTTGTACAATGCACCAAGGTATGCATTAACTTGCATATGACACTCCGTCCATGTCCTATAAACACAAACTTGTCATCCAACAAAGACAACACAAAAACGTTCTCACCTTCCCATTATAAAGTTAACTGAAAATAAATTTGTCATGTGATCATAAAAAGTGAACAACATTATAGTAAAACGTTAAAGAAAAACATCTAATTAATAAGTCAAACATCCACATCATACATAAGTTGCTAAAGGAAATGTGACACATGGGTCAATCAAAAGTTTAGTTCATAAGCAGGGCACGAATAACTTTACATACGAACTTGATACACATCTAAATCGAGCCACAGTATGCTACCAACCCAAGTGCTCTCTCTTGCACAGGCAAGCTAAAAAAAATGTCAACATTTATGTTGTCTGCAGCAATTTTGTATGTTGTGTCGTGGTGGTGTGCCATTGTAAGGCCATCTAGTTTTGAAAACTCTGTAAGGATGGCATGTCTACTGGTAGATGCATCTTGCTCGTAATCTACTCTCTGTGCAATACTTGTTAGTTGGTTCTCGCTTGAAACAACGTAATCACCAAATACCTTACATATCTGGGAAAGACTTGTAGCCATTCAATCGCTTAGTTCGCTAGCTTTTCTTTTTTTTTTTTTTGGTTTACGTGTCTATGGGGTGACATTCACATCTTCCCTACCTTGAGTTACACTTTCAGAATGGCTAACATCATCCATTCCTAACATCATCCATTCCCCCGGTTGGATGAGCCTCTACATTGGCATCCTCAAGGACATCCTCAGCAGCTGAATTTTCTTCTATCATTTCTTAAAGTCCTTGGGCAAACTCGCATGTTTCCCTATCTTTCCCGCAGATAAGCACCCAATCATCATATAAGGGTCATGATCTACCATGTATCCCCTTCACATTCTTGTCTTTCTACATTGTGAATAGAAAATTTACTATGGCATAATATATACAGGTAATCTTGGTGTAATATTATTAATGGATGCAAGGGATTAGTAAGACCTTCAGGTACTCCACCCAGATATCTTCACCATACATATCCACTTTCTTGTGGCGGTCATTCCATCCAAAACCTGATGTGCTTAGCATTGAAAACAAAGAGTTGTACTACTTTTTTCAGGCTTTGATTTTCAACTCAATATGTGGTGATGCCCGAAGGTCAATTGCTGAGAATGCATCCTTTAAGTTGTGCTCAAATGTTTGAAGGTAACCTGGGCGAAACGTGTCATTCTGACACTTCCATCCATTGACACAAAGTTCTTTCAATGCTTGAATAAGAATAGTCTTATCTGAGGCAGTCCATGTTCAGCGTGAACCACGCTCTATTTGGCTGCTGACACCAACGCTTGACATGACCTATTTACATATGTACATGTCACATACCATTAAATAACTAACAAACACATTTATAATATAAAACAGAGCAGGTTTCAATAAGCTCATTCAACGGTCTCAAATAGATTCATCTAATGACCACCGACATTCTTTTCAAATTAAACCATTCATATTACACTATGTCTTTAGGCACAGGATACCCCTAGTGAATATATATGACTTGGCTAAAGTAACCATAAGAAAACACAAATAATTCACGTAAATTTGATTCATTAACTACATACAACATAATTGGTATGTTACTAAAAATGTGGAAAAGCATTTAGTCACCCATATTTTCACGTCATTCACTATACATATTGTTGGCTAATTGGTTTCTAAACACAGTCCATTCATTAGATATGTCGACTATGTCGATGACTTCCGGCTCTTTATCACCATGACCATTGGTTGGACCATCTTCTTGTAACTCATCTTCCATTGGATCGAGCACCATTTCATTTCTAACCAAATTATGCAATAAACGACATACAACAATGATTCGATTGTGTGTGCATACCGGGTAGTGGCAAGGAGTCCTTAGGATTGCCCAACGTTTTTTTTGAGTAAGGCAAAACAATGTTCTATAGCCTTCCACACCATCGAATGCCTAAGATTGAATAGTTCCTCAGCTTTACGAGGTGCAGCTGCCCCTTTGGCCCACTATTGCAAATGGTATCTTTGTCCCCTAAATGAAGCTAAGAACCCTTAGCCATTAGTGTAACTGACATCCACTAGGTAGTAGGTGACTACGTACAAATTGTGGTTTCGTAAGAACACCACTAATAACTGTCAAAGAAATAAGGTTAGTGATTATATATAACTTACCCCGAGCCACTTTCAATCAATTCCTCCTCGTTACCGTGTCTCGTAGTATTCTAAGAATCAATAGCAGACACTTCCCAACTGAGTAAGACATAAATGAATTTCATATCTTGGGAGCACACGCCAAACACATTTGTTGAAATGTCACCATGTCTACTCCTATATCTTGCTTAGTGAAGCATTGGTACACTTGCTCTAACGTGCATGACATCTAGTGTTCCTACGCAATTCTACAATTCAAACACAACGAAACATATTTAAGTCTACCATCAAGTAAATTACATTCTATCCAATCACATTAAACAATTGTATAGGTCAATTACCTTAAACCACTTCCACTTATTATCTGTACAATCGTCAGTAACATGGTCGGATCTCTTCAATAGTAGACGATGTAACTTAATAACTGCCTTCAACACAACATTGAAATACCTGCTTACAGATTCGTCATATCTAAGAAAGTTGAACTTTATTAGCCTATTCTTTATATCGTGACCCAATATATTTAGGAATGTAGCAACCATTTCTTCAACACTTACAAAGAACGCAAAAAGTGTGTCTATCCATCCTAAGTTGTTCTATGCAATTGATGTCACTCTCAGCAATTAGTCGGTGCAAGTGTTCAACCTACAATCAATTTCTACACAATGACCTTGCTGGTTGTGGTTTTGATTGTCTCTTCATTTCTCATAACACTACTATAAGGACCACAAACAAATAGAACATCACTATCATCTCTCTTCTTGTTCTATCCAACACAACAATCAATCTAGCGATGTCATCAATACGGTTTGGCATTTTATCACCTCAACACCGTTGCAATTTCATGTACAATAATGAAGTCAATATCGAATGTGGTACGCATGTAACACACTTTAAGCTAAGCAAAAACTCAATGTGAGGACATACAGTATTTTCTGG